TAGCTTATTTAGTTGCTAACTATATAATAAAGGCCTTAAATAGTTAAATTAAAAAGCTCTATATTAATTTTCTAGAGCTTTTATTATTAGTATAAGTAGTATCTACTAATATAAATAGCTCTTTTATTAAATTTCTATTAATTTAAATAGCTAGGTTTTGAATATTATATAAATACTTAATAACCTTTATAGCTAATTTAATATATATTTTACTTAAGTTAAATAAGTATTTTACTAGCTTAAAGTAAGCTATAGCTATATTTAGCTTAGTCTAAATACTAGTATAGTTTATAGACTTAATTAAGCTCTAAAATTAATATATATTATTAGCTATTACTTAGCTTATATTAAGCTTAAAGTCTTTATTAATAATAAGGTTTTTATAGTAAGTTTATAGTAGGAAATATTCTTTAGATCTATTAAATTAAGGAATTTTGCTGTAATTTTATTAATATAAAAGTCTTAAAATAGCTAGAGCTTTTAGTTAGCTTAGTTTTATATAATTTATATACTTAGAAACTATTTTAAGTCCTCTAAGTTCTTTATTTTATATATTTCTTTAAGTCTTTTAATAAAAGTAGTTACTTTATTGTTATAAGCCTTTTTAAAGATAAAAACTATATTATTAATATAGATAAATATAGAAAAAAGTTATTTTGTTATTAGTAAAAATATAGAGCTCTTCTATTAGTTGCAGAAGCTCTATAAATATAAGGGTTTTTAAAAAGTTCTTTTGCTATAATAAAGGCAACCTTCTTAAGCTATATTAAGCTCTTTTTAGCCTTAGTACTTAATTAGGCTTTTTAAAGCCTCTAAAGTATTTTATATAGACTTTTTTATTTAAAAAGCTATTTATAAAAGTATATATAGTATTTAGCTATATAGCTTCTAAGTTAAATTTAGCTAATATAGCTATAATAAGCTTAAAGCTTTTACTAGCTAAAGTAGCTATATAGGTATATTTTTTATTATAAAGTTATTAATTCTCTTTAATATATAATTTAGCTTTTAGCTTAATTAAATAGCTAAATTTATTTAGCTTATACTTAAAGACTTAAGTAGTATTTAAAGCTTTAAATATAGTA